GAGGGTGGGGGGTGGGGGGATAAAGGAAGGAGGGTGTGAGGGGAAAGGGGAAGGGGAGGAGGGGGGGAGGGGGGAAAGGGGAAAGGAAGGAGGGGCGTGAGGGAGAGATAAGGGGAGGGGTGAGAGGGGGAAGAGACGGGGGGTGTGAGGGGAAGACGGAGGGGGGAGGGGTGTGTGAGGGGTAAGGGGAGGAGGATGTGAGGGGAAGACGGAGGGGAAGGGGACTGTGAGGGGTAAGGGAAGGAGAGGTGTGAGGGAGAGATAAGGGGTGTGTGAGGAAGGGAATTGGGAAGGGGAGGTGTGAGGGGAAATGGAAGGAGGTGAGAGGGCTAAAAGTAGGGGGGGGGGGGGGAGGGGAAAGGGGAGAGAATGTCGGGCAAATGAGGAAGTGAGAGTGAGAGGCTAAGGAAGAGCAACATTATCGTGAAAAAAACATATTTCTTTCAAGTAAATATACAAATGATATAAATACATACATACATATATATATATATATATATATATATATATATATATATATATATATATATATATATATATATATATATAAACTGAAGACGATAGAGAAAAATACGATACAGAAAATGAAGAAACAATATCGGAAAAAAAACATATTTCTTTCAGTTAAACATACAACAAAAAACAAATCAATAAATCAAAATAAACTGAAGACGATACAAAAAAAAAGGAAAGAAGATGAACCAGAAAAAGAAGAAAAATAGAGAGAGACAGACGAAGACGACGAAAGAGAGGGGAAACGAGGGGAGGCTGGAGAATGCGGGTCGCAGGAAAGCCATTTAAAAAGGGGGACAAGAAATGAGAAAATAATGAAGGAAAGAAGCTAACGGAAACTGCATTATTTTTCCCCTTTATCCAAAATAAACAAACCGCCGGAAGCTGCATTAGCCATTCCCCATAAACAAACTAATAAATAAACAGATAAATTCTATAAATATATAAACAATAATATAATAAATGAAAATAAATAAAATAAATAAACAAAGAGACAGTGAGAGAAATAGGTAAATAGATAGATAGCGAGGGAGGGAGGGAGGGATTGAGAGAGAGAGAGAGAGAGAGAGAGAGAGAGAGAGAGAGAGAGAGAGAGAGAGAGAGAACGAAAGTAAGAAAGAAATGAAAGATCGTAAAAAAGAAACAAACCAACAAACAAGGAAAAGAAAGAGAAAGAGAAAGAAATGCAGGAATCGGCAACCTCCCCCTCCCCCCACCCCACCCCCCAATACAAGGAAGGGAAGAGTCGCGTCGAGAATGGCATTTCCCAATCGTGTTAGGTCACCTTTGACTCATGCCTCGTATTTGTATCTGGGTATGAGTGTGTTAGGCCTTAAAAAAAAATGACAGTTTTGTGTCATTCTCTTGACTGTTTGGTGTTGTTTGGTTGTTTGCTTATGACAGGTTTATGCCATTCTTGTTGCTGTTCGATTGTTTGCTTATGACAGTTTTGTGTCATTCTTTTGGCTGTTGTTGTTGTTTGATTGTTTGCTTATGAGAGTTGTGTCATTGTTTCGTTGTTTGTTTGTGATGGTTAAGTGTCATACTTTTATTGGTGTTAATTAGTTGTTTGTTTGTTTGTTTCTTTTATGCACTGATGCCCATGTACACATATACACGGATATGTTTTATGCAAATAGAACACGCAGACTCTTTTCTTTGTTTCTAACTGTTTTTTTATTATTCTCTCTCTCTCTCTCTCTCTCTCTCTCTCTCTCTCTCTCTCTCTCTCTCTCTCTCTCTCTCTCCCTCTCTCTCTCTCTCTCTCTTTCTTTCTATTTTTCCCTCACACACAACCTATAGTGTTGCTTACGAGCGAAACACATCTGCTGCAATAGTTTTTTTTTATTTTATTACGGACATCTTATGGGGTATCAAATTGCACAATGGCCGATAAAAATCAAAATTATATTTTATATAGTCAATAACAATGTGTTATGTTCATATTATGGATATGAAAGTTCTAATTTTCCATCTTCGCTTCTGCCTTTTCTTGCATACTTTGGTATTTGTATTCTGATATTTTTTTTATGTTAGTGACATTATTGGAATTTCTAAGACAATTTTTTTAAGTGAGGTAATATCAGAATGTTTGGATAATACGAAGGATATATAAAGATGTCAAATGATTTTTTCATCCATGAGACATCCATGCAGGTTTATATGAACACATTCGCGGAAAATAATGGTCTCTTCTCTCTATCTATCTATTCATCTGTTTCTTTTCTCTTCTCTATTCTATTTTCATTTCTCTCCTCCCTCTCTTTCTCTTTCTCTCTCTCTTTCTTTCTCTTTCTCTTTGTCTCTCTCTCTCTTTCTTTCTTTCTCTTTGTCTCTCTCTCTCTATTTCTTTTTTTCTCTCTTTCCCATCTTTCTTTTTTTTCTCTCTCTGTCCTCTTTCTTTACTTAACATAGAGTTATATACCTCAGGAATGTCTCTGCAACTATGCAACTGCGCATTTTTGCATTCCTGGTTATTATGTAATTG